CTTGAATAAGGCGTCGTTGCAACTTTCAAGTTTATTTCTTTACCATCCCGCAATATTAACTATAAAGTTACAAATTAAAATTTTTAATCATTTTCATTGTCTCCACCGGAAAAAGTAAACTGAAATAATAGAAAAATAAAGTTTACGCGCATCACCTCTGTTTTGTTATTCCTCTTTATATTGAATGCATCAGCTATGACCTCATTTACATTATTTATTGTCCCATTCAGACTCCACTTACAATTGGACGATGTATGTGAATCTGCATGTATTTTCCCAGTTTTTTGCACCTAGTTTGTTGGGACGGCCACCCTAAGACAATAAGCTTGTAAAATTAGTAGTATCCTTAACTATCGTATTTTTCATTTGCTATATAACGTTCATTTTGCTATAAACAACCCCGAAGGCATCTATGGCTAACAGTGTTAGTAATCCCAAAGATTTTAAACATCAGGCAACCCCAAAGGCACCTGCGCCCCAACACTGTTTTTTTGTGGCTCGTCCCAAAGACTTGAATGATAGGCATCCCAAAGATCCCTACATGCCACTTATTCTTAATACACGAAAGCTCTAGTACTTGCCTCCTTAGGAGTTCTTGTGCTTTGTAACTTATTCTTTGATGTTAGGTAACACTTGGTTTTTTTTCATATAAGGTTCTAGACTACATTTATCAGGAAATTTAATTATGTCGTGTACCTATTTTTTGAAAATGAACAAGTAAACTGAAATAATAGAAAAATGAAGTTTACGCGCATTACCATTTTATAGTTTTAAAATAATGCCAGTACCCTGATCGCGATTTTGGACCAATAAAAATATTTTTATTTATTTATAGATATTAAATTGTTCACCTGTAATAAAAAAATTTGTGTGTAACTATAACGTTTAGATTACCCGTATAAATAATTTTTTCAATTGTGTACCCATAAATTGTTTTTACACGTATCTTTGACGCGAAAATAAAAGCATTTGTTACACGTATCTTTGACGCGAAGATAATTACCAGTCTTGATCGCACAACTTTACATTTTAATATTTTTATGAAAAAAAAAGTACCTGTAAATAACAACGTTACAAGTTCTGTAACAGGTTTTTTTATGTATTATTCCGCAATAGAATCGTGCTACTTCCAATACAAATAACTTTATACCATGTCCCCGCAATAATGAGTACGTTCTGTAATATTTTTTACTGTAATTCTAATATAAACTATATACCTTCTTTTATCTACTTGCAGTAGAATACTAAACTATTAAGTAAGTTCTGTAGCAAATTTTTCTATGCTAACTTAAAAACTATGATAATCTTACTGTGTATTATTGGATTATTGAGTAAGTCCTGTTTCGGAATTTTTCATACCTTACAATAATAATTTAATACAAATTAATTCATCTTAACATGCTAGAATAGCGAGTAAGTATTTTACAATGGAAATCATCTAATCCCAACACGACCACCTTAAGCTTAGCCGTGCTACATCACCAGAATACTAAGTAAGTTATGTAAAAAAATGTTATTTGTAACTCATTTTAAAATCGCAAACTAACTCTATCTTAACTATTTATTAAGTCTGTATAGAATTTCCTACATTACTTCAATAATTCGATACAAACTAACACATCCTTATGTTCTATGCGGCATTGGAATAATGAGTAAGTTCGCTAATATAATTTTTTATCATAACTTAATTAAATCTTAATGCAAACTAACTTATTCCTACCCGTTTACTCCGTATCACAGGAATAGCGAGTAAATTCTGTAGCTGATTTTTTTACAGTACCTCATGATAAGATCCTGCTAATTGCTAATACTAATACAAACTAACTCATACTATGTATCTTTGAAATGACAATAGTATTTTTTTTATCGTATTTTATAAGAATTTTGTTAATCTTAGTAGGGCGATATCGCAAGTTACACGAATCAACATTATATACAGATAAGTTTTTTTATTTTATTACAATACTAATTCACAATTTAACCTCTTTTCTGTAGTGATATCTTCTTCGATGTTACCATTTAGCTGAAATTATTGTTTACTGGAACCGTCATTTATTTGGGCCATCGTTTTGTTGGAGTCGTCGTTTTGTTGGAGCATCGTTTGCTGGACTCTAATTATTAAATTCATCGTTAATTGGAACCGTCGCTTGTGGGTCATCGCTTTGATTGTGTCGCCGTTCATAAGTGTCATCTCTGTAGTTTTGTTAACTTCGTTTCATCTTTTGTAACTGTTTCGTTTTCTAGCGTCACACTTGCCGTGTCGTCATTCATCGTATCGATTCTTCTGCGTTTAATGCCAGTTACTTGGATAATGGTCGGTGGTGAGTTTTTATGTTGTGGCTGAAATTGACACCCAACTGAGGTTGCAACTTCAGTAGACTAAAGTTACACTGCCTAAAATTGATAACTAATGCGTGCAAAATTATTTAATTTCAGGACTAATTTCGGTTAAGTGCAACTGAGGTTGCATTTTCAGTCGGGTGCCAACTTCAACCACGAACATAAGCATTAGTTTTTGTTGGTTAATATTAGGCTAGAATAGAATTAAAGGGTAGAATATAATTAGAATTACCTATATTTAGATGTTAGGGTGGGATTACACGAAGTTAAGGTTAGATTAGCTTAGATATCAGGATAGGATTATTGGAGGTAAGTTTAAAATGTTATATAGAAAGTAGGTTTAGCATTGAGTTAGGAATACACGAAGTTAGTGTTAGACGGAGAAGTAGTTCTAATGATAGTAGAGGGTGAATTGCTTAGGGTTAGAGCTAGATTTGCTATTACATATGTGTGTAAATAAATAACGATTCTTGAATGTGTGCTAGATTTATAGTGTAGACAAAATTCTTTAAAGTTTAGTTTATTTATGTTAGGATTGGTGTATGTGTAAATTTAGGATTATTGATGTATATGGGGTCCTTGCCTTGAAAATCACGTTCATATAGGTGGAAATCTTCAATTTTGTGATTAGTTTGTGATTATTTAAGTTGAATGATAAGATTATTAATAAATAGAATTTGAGCCAATAATACAGTGTGATTGCTAATATTAAACGTGATTATTTGTCGGTGATTGTAAAATTGCTTATAAGTTACTTATGAGCAATATACCGAAAAGATCAGCTAAAAACAACCCAAAATGATCCAAAACTGATCTGTTACTTATCAGTTTTTATGAGCAATGTACCAAACAGATCAACTAAAATACCCAGAATGATTCAAAACTGATCTGTTACTTCATGTACCGAACAGATCAGCTAAAAATAACCCAAGATGATCAGTATTTATGAACGGTGTACCAAACAGGTCAGCTAACATCATCGATATATCACTTAATTTTATATAGTCACAGCACTCAACTAAAATTTTCGCCCATATGTTATGGGACATAGTAAATTATATATTCCATAGCGTGATTTTCAAGGCAAAACCCCATATAGTAAATCACTCAAAAAAAAAAGATGTCTTCTTTATGCCGATTTGATTATATTACACCTGATCTTGAAATCCAAGGTGTAGTTCAGAGTTAAAGTTAGCTATACTGGTTAGTAGAAAATATAGTAAAATTATTAACTAGATATTTTTTATTTAATAACTATAGTTTTATTAGTAAAATTCTTAATAATCTTGGCAAAATTGATTAATCCAATTTATTCAACTAGAGTTTTAATACTGTATATTCTGATCTGGAATTTTGAAATCTCTTTGAATTTATACAACTTTATTACTTTTTTGGTTTTAATTAGTCTACAAAATGTTTCTAAATAGTAATACTATATAGCATATTATATTACTTATAACAACTATATATTTTATAATAATATAATCTTAAAGTAATATAAAATACAGTATATAGTTTTTTTTTATTTTTATAAAAATTCTAATTATTATAATTGTATTTAAAAATTAAAATTATTTGATTTTTTTTTTTTTTTTTTGTTCAAATTCGGCAATCATGCCACAACTTTATTAGGCTTTGTAATAGTCATTTAGACTATTAAAATTTTAGAGAGACTTATTGGTAAGTGATAAACTCTGAACATGTTAGCAGATAGCATATGAGAACTATCTCTAAATGACATACGCCGCACCCAAGGGCCACACAACTATACCTAAATTACAAGTTGTGACTCACCCGGTTACCCCAATTGGCACCTATGTGCGACCTGCTATAGTAGGTTTCTCCTCCATCCGGCCCTCTTAAACTCAGATATTGGCCGGCTCTCAACAGATAGTACCTACCGTCTATCATGACTACCTCCTCTTCTTCAAGCTTCTTCCACCTAAGCCCGACTAAATCATTAACCCTTATTCATATATAAAAAAAAAATTTAAAGCCATGTTTACGAAAGACCTAAACATCTTAGAAAAAAAAACCTCATAGTAGAAAAAAAAAAACAAAAAAAGAAACAAAATTCTAAAGTAGTCTAACATAAATTGAACAGAGATGAAAAAAACAAAAAAAGGGAAAGTAGCCATGACAGGCACCTTGATAATAAAAATTATATAATAACTGCAACTAATTATTATATCTCGTTATAAAACGTTCATCTTATTTTTAGGACTCGTTCCATGCACCAACTCAACTCGGGTATCTCCTAAACAAGGGTACTGTATCCATCCCCATACCATAGCACCGCATTTGTAAATCAACAAAACATGTAGTTGCTTTCTACTAAGTCTATCCCAATTTGGTAGGAGTAAACAATGCCGATCTTTTGGAGGAGATAAGCCAAAATGCCCACTTTTTTCGAAAATTATAGTAAGAACGACAAAAAGCAAGAGAAAGGTAAAAAAAAAACCAATAGAAGAGCACCAAAGAAGCATGAGTTTTCTTTACTTCGATTAAACCCTCCACCTATGACTTGCGCAGTACTCACTTTTTTCAGTGAGTGATAAACTCTGAGCTTGTCGGCAGGTAGCATATAAGAACTACCTCTAAACGACAAGTGCTGTGTTGCAAGGAACAGTGAGTGATAAACTCTGAAACAAGTCGGCAGGTAGCATATAAGAACTACCTCTAAACGACAAGAGCTGTCTTGCAAGCCATTTTCTTATATCTTACAATTTAAACCTCAACATTTCATTGAAGTGCCCCGACGTCCGGTGTTTTTTCTTGTAAAAAATTTTTGGGAAGTGGTGGTCCAGATGATCGTCGAAAAGAGTTGTTATTAAAATTATTTAATTATACAAAGTTTGTTAATTAATAATTTAAAAATATTTTTTAATAATTTATTATATACAAATAATAAACTTTTTAAAGGGTGTGGCGACTTAGTGAAGTGGTCTAGTTATCACCTCGCCAAGTAGCAGGTTGAGAGTTTGAATCCTACAAACGACGATTTTCGAATTTAATCCTGTGTTATAGTGACTATCATCCGCATCGGAGAAAAATATCTGTAACTCGTTGGCGTACCAAGGACCAGCAATACCGGGACCTAAAAAATTTGGGGCATTGTGCAACTCTGTACACTAGAGAAGTACAAAGAATGCTAGCCAGTTAAATGCGATACAAACTCATGATAAGTCCAACAGATCGGCGCATATGAAGATGATTATCGGATGATAGAAGTCT